CCCACTGCAGCACGGTCGAGCTGTTTCACCGAATGATTTGACCGTATGGAACTGTGTATGAACGCTGGTGGAGAATACTCCGAAAAAATATATTGCTGCTTTTTATTAAACACAGCAAACTTGTAAATTACCGCTTTCCGATTACTGCAAAACGATTTCGTTTTTGGGTGCTGCCTTCTGATTTCATTCCAAGTTCTAATGTTGGTTTGGACTATTACGGTGCCCAGTTCAGTACGTGCACAAGTCACCGGGTCCGAGTGCGAATTACAACAGCGATCGAGCCGTATTCCTCCCAAATTACGGACTGATTCCCTTATTAATAGGACTATTGTATGAGAGTTTATTTGACCTGTAGCGGGCAATATGAACTCAAAGTTGAACTATAGTATACAACCCGGTTGTCGGAATGACCAAAAACCAACAACCCGAGAGATTTACGAGAATTGTAGGAAGACGTGTTTATTTTTTCAAGAGAGCTGTTAAGTCAATCTATCGTGCCCCGGAAACCCATATGTTATACAGCCTTGCCTTTAGCCAAACACTTGTCGTTCAACACAACTGAGTCATTTTCATCAGATAACTTAGATCCTAAACCAAGGATATTTTAAAACAACTGAACTTTTGGACACCTGTTTAATTTATCAAGACTTGCTGTGCAGATTCTTTCACAATGATTTGTGCAGCCCAGTGTTTTGGCCCAGATAAATGTGAATAACACTTTATGTGTTCAACTGGTTCAACCGACCACGATAACCCGTTACGGAGTCTCGCAGACGCGTGACGCAGGCCGAAGGCCACAAATGTGATGGTTAGTTCTTTTTGCAAGAACGGATTACGCGGTCATCACCATTCGTTCTGGTCAAACGATTCCTCGAATGGCTTTCTGAATGGTTAAGTATTGGACTAATGCACGCTATCCTCAGATACGTACCGCACCACCTTCGGGCGCTAACCAGATGAAACTTGTCGCGCAGATCTATTATTATGATTCCTTTTATTTGATGGCAACTTCCTGTGTCACTATAAAAATGGATCTTTTTATTTGTCGTCTCATAACTGGTTCACCATCTCAATCTGTCGATCGATTAGACATGAAAAAACTAAAACCAACATCTAAATAATGGTGGTTTCGCATTCGGGACAAAAATGTCAAACATGGGGGTGTTGGTGGCCAAGTGGTTAGTTCACGAAATTGTGACCCGGAAGTCCCGGGTTCGAAATGCTCCACCACCGTCCGTCTTCCCTATTTCTGTATTTTCCCAGGCAGCCTTTGTATGACCGCGGCCCTGTTCCTGAAAGTTGATTGTACATTTGTATATTCAATAGGTAATAAGTAAAAATACAGACATCAAGACATCATCATCATCCAATGTGTGTTTGATGCTTCGTTCATCTCCCCGGATAGATATCCCTGAAATAATGTATGCGACCAAATGTCCGGTTGCAAAATAAATACAGGTTAAACACACAGCGTAACGCATTCATTTTGCAAAATTTTAGTCATCCATTACAGACTAAAAAGGGCATAAATCCGGTCGTGGAACCCCTTTAAGAACTCACTTTGAGCTCATTTAGGATAGCTAGACGACTCTGGGAGTGGACACGATTCTCGGATAAGCGTTCCTGTTGTCGCATATCGATCGCTTGTGTCTGTTCCCTAATCGCATCCAGTTGTTGCCGAAGTACACGTTGATGGGCTTCCAGTTCGGCAATGTTGCATCTGTTGTTGTTATTCGGGATGGATAGGAAACGAATCGGTTTGATTGTATAACAAAAACGCTAACGCATAAGATAAGAATTCAGATTGTGTGCTGATCCAAAACACGGGCGCAGCCATTTTGATTTGATTGTGAGTCGTGTGCATATCTCACTGGACCTTTTCGTTCACGGTTGTTTTTGTATTTTCTCTGTCTTGCAAGTCGTTAGGAATCTCGCACTACGGAGAACCTACTGTGAGAAGTGTATCCTACCTGTGTATTGAGAGTGTCAGTGAATGGCCAAGGATTGTGCGGCCTTTTGTGAGGACGCTAATTGTATAAGAACTCGGACTGCATTGCCGGAACCAATCTACCAGTGTATTTCAAGTGGATTCAGAACTGGGCTCGGTCCTGCATATTACAAATCATTCCGGTATAAGAATATTTGTGTCGGCCTAAATGATCCGCCAATCAGACTATCACCTCAGAGATATTTGAAGCTATTGGTACCCTAACATGGAAGCTACAGTAAGTCAACAGACGAGAGAGACTGAGAGATAGATTCTGTCAACTTCCTCTTTCCCATTCACTATTTCATATTCATAACTGTACTTGTGTCCAGCACAAGCAAATAGTGGGCATAGAGACAGCAGGCATTGTCGATAAGTGCCCAAACCATCATCACCGTCCTAAATTAGAGGCGAGATCCATTTACTTGATCCAATACTCATTCATTTGATTTTCTGATAATTTGATTGGTTTAATTCAAGTTCACGTCATATCCTTTGTAAAGTTGCACCGAGCTGACCTGTGAACTGCACTATCATAAAATTTCGAATTAAACCACAAATGTCACTTGACTGAAACGATCTTGATTCTCCTTCACAAAAAACGAGGTAAAAAAGTTCCACCAAGTTGTTACTCAAAACGATTAAGCTCGACGTACATGATAAACGGGAAATATCATGATCAAATTGCGCACAACGGAAAGTCAAAAGCTAGAAGTGAAGCTTGGAGAGAGAGAGACCGCGAAAACCCTAGCCACCGTTTTGCATGTGCACTCATGGTGTTCAGCCAATAGGATCAGAAAAAATGTGACAAGATTTATAATGAGTAGTATATGAATGAACGGATGAAATCCTCCAGAAGAACATGACCGGCTTCGCGGTCTTTGCTGCTCGTCAGGTATGCGTACCCGGTAGTTTTTTGTCTGGTCATTCTTATATTTGAAATCCCGATGTGAATAATGCAATGCAAATGCCATTTGCAGCTCGGGGAGTGGATTAGAAACGAACAAGTCTCGAAGAATCATTGCGAAGATTCTGTATCAGATGTTGTGGGGGGTAGATGCGTCTAACCTCATTCAACTCTACCCCAGGGTCGATTGTCAGTGTGCTCTTTGTATTGGATCATTCACATAGGAAGTTCAATTATAAGAATGACCAAAAAGAGGCTTACGGGATACGCACACCTGACGACCGAGAAGGACCGTGAAACTGGTTGTGTGCGTCTTGGAGA